ACAGTCAGTAAAAGGAAAATGTTATTCTTATCCTATAATGAAATACTAATTGACAATTCATTCAAACTTCAAAGTACATAGTCACTGTTAGTGTTTTTTAGATCAGTGTGTTATGAATGAAATTAATGTTTTCTTTTTCTGAATGAGAATTGTTGCCAATGTTATGGTGAAACAAGCATATTTTGAGACATATATGAAGTGCTTTGTTGTTTTGTTGAGTGAGGTTTGGAGGTGAGATCAACTGTTTGGCCAAGATTCATGTTGGTAATGCAGACTGTATGAACAGTTTTGAAAATGTGGCTTCAGTATTGAACAATGCTTTTTAGTAACTGAAAAAAACTGTAATGCAGCCTAACAATCCTTTAACGGATTTGAATATTAGAAATGTGTTGGTGTGTTATGTGTAAGCCAGGTTAAAGAGATGGGTCTTTAATCTAGATTTAAACTGCAAGAGTGTGTCTGCCTCCTGAACAATGTTAGGTAGATTATTCCAGAGTTTGGGAGCTAAATAGGAGAAGGATCTGCCGCCCGCAGTTGATTTTGATATTCTAGGTATTATCAAATTGCTAGAGTTTTGAGAACGCAGCGGACGTGGAGGACTATAATGCAATAAGAGCTTGCTCAAATACTGATGTGCTAAACCATTCAGGGCTTTATAAGTAATAAGCCAGATTTTAAAATCTATAGGATGTTTAATAGGGAGCCAGTGCAGTGTTGACAGAACCGGGCTAATATGGTCCTAATAACATTTCTTTAACTACATTTTTGCAAAACTCCTATAAACATACCTACTTACATATAATTAATTGCCGTTACTGCCAAAACAACAAATTTTATTATTTTCCCCAAAGTAATAGTTAATTAATAAGAGACTTATTTTCATGTGGCTCCATGATACTATGATGGTTAAAATCATAGATATAATAACAAACTCGTACTTCTATGAGTAATAGTTATAAATCTGAAAGTATTTTTCCTTTGGGAGGGATCTACCTACTAACTTCTCACAATACTTAAACTGGTTGAGGTTGAACCATAGAACAGACTGATTTTCTTAGCAGAGATATATTATAAAAAAGAAAAACAACAATAAAACTCACAATAATAAACCCCAAAGCAAAAATAACATACCATAAACCAATCGTACAAAAAGACCCAAGAGAACCAATACAAAAAGAAATGCTGCTTATCTTATTTATTCTTTGTGCTGCAATACAGTCAGTAAAAGGAAAATGTTATTCTTATCCTATAATGAAATACTAATTGACAATTCATTCAAACTTCAAAGTACATAGTCACTGTTAGTGTTTTTTAGATCAGTGTGTTATGAATGAAATTAATGTTTTCTTTTTCTGAATGAGAATTGTTGCCAATGTTATGGTGAAACAAGCATATTTTGAGACATATATGAAGTGCTTTGTTGTTTTGTTGAGTGAGGTTTGGAGGTGAGATCAACTGTTTGGCCAAGATTCATGTTGGTAATGCAGACTGTATGAACAGTTTTGAAAATGTGGCTTCAGTATTGAACAATGCTTTTTAGTAACTGAAAAAAACTGTAATGCAGCCTAACAATCCTTTAACGGATTTGAATATTAGAAATGTGTTGGTGTGTTATGTGTAAGCCAGGTTAAAGAGATGGGTCTTTAATCTAGATTTAAACTGCAAGAGTGTGTCTGCCTCCTGAACAATGTTAGGTAGATTATTCCAGAGTTTGGGAGCTAAATAGGAGAAGGATCTGCCGCCCGCAGTTGATTTTGATATTCTAGGTATTATCAAATTGCTAGAGTTTTGAGAACGCAGCGGACGTGGAGGACTATAATGCAATAAGAGCTTGCTCAAATACTGATGTGCTAAACCATTCAGGGCTTTATAAGTAATAAGCCAGATTTTAAAATCTATAGGATGTTTAATAGGGAGCCAGTGCAGTGTTGACAGAACCGGGCTAATATGGTCCTAATAACATTTCTTTAACTACATTTTTGCAAAACTCCTATAAACATACCTACTTACATATAATTAATTGCCGTTACTGCCAAAACAACAAATTTTATTATTTTCCCCAAAGTAATAGTTAATTAATAAGAGACTTATTTTCATGTGGCTCCATGATACTATGATGGTTAAAATCATAGATATAATAACAAACTCGTACTTCTATGAGTAATAGTTATAAATCTGAAAGTATTTTTCCTTTGGGAGGGATCTACCTACTAACTTCTCACAATACTTAAACTGGTTGAGGTTGAACCATAGAACAGACAACTGATTTTCTTAGCAGAGATATATTATGAAAAAGAAAAACAACAATGAAATTCACAATAATAAACCCCAAAGCAAAAATAACATACCATAAACCAATCGTACAAAAAGACCCAAGAGAACCAATACAAAAATATGTCTATATACAAAATGAGGTTACAATACGAGCACAAAATGTTAATGTAATGAAGATGGTTATACTTATATATCCCAATCCAAAAGCAAAAGAAGAAACCTTGTAGAAAAGGCAGATGTAAATAGTTATTTTCCTTGTAATTAATATCCAGTTTTGATGACCCAAAGTAAGGAGATGCAATGCAGGGAAATTAGTCCTTTATATTTTCAAGATGTACCATGCCGTCGTAAATGCACCATTGATACATCTAAGGAGGCTAGGTCAAATGAGTCCTTCTACAAACAACATATTAACAAACATTAGAATAAACCTCAAAACCATGAAATGCAATTTATACAGCCACACTGTGAATATGCATAAAAAAGGACCTTACTTTGATAGAGCATAGAACAACATGTTTCCCAATCAGGACATCTCAGTGAAGGTAAGGCTACAAGAGGGAAGCCATGATTTCCACTTACCAAACAGCTCTCTCTTCTTCTACCACCTAACTGTATTTAAATTTAGCATAAGAGAACCATAGTGTCCCCTAATGATGGGTAGTAGAATTACACCCTAAGTAACATT